CTTGGGTATAACGGCTCGAAGCAATTTGGTCCGTGGGGCAATGTATCCGGTTGTCTTACTGCTGCTCAGTCGAGACTATCGACCCGAGACGGATGAGTATAACTACTTTGATTTCACTCCGGAAGAACGCAGCACAATTATGCGACATTTTCCGTCGTTTCTGCGATTCCCGGAACATTTACGCATGACTGGACGTTTGCTACACCATTTACGCCTAAGTCTACCCGAGTTGTCTCTACTCTGTGCAGTGGAAATCGTGCGCAGTAAGTCATACCGGTTGGCGATATACATATTTCGCTTTTTTATGCTTTCATGACGTTTGTACAAATACAATCTCGTCCATTTTAACCTTGGCCCATCCCCTGCACGCTCACGTATGTCCGCTCGCGAAAACAACTGAACCTGGATCAACTGACCCGGTACGATACGAGATCAGTTTTTTTGGAGGCCGCGCACCTCATTGCGCGTAGATCCGACCTCCTCGTGGCTGCTGCTAAGACAACACTCAGACGTTTTAGGTGGTCATGGGGTCGAGAGTGTTGGATCGATCACACGACTGAATGGCTGGTTGACTGACTGTGACTGGCTGGCTGGCTGGCTGGCTGGCTGGATAGCTAGCTTTCTGACTGGGCTTGTCGACAACATGGTCCTAGGTGTTGGACACGTTTTCGGAGCCGCTCTGGTTGGACTTGTGTGATGAGGCCGTACGGCTTGTATGCGAGGGCGCGCGCACGTGTGCGTGTGTTTGTACGTCCGTTTGTGCGTGCGTGCGTGTGTGTGTGTATGCGCACGCGCGCAGCGCACGCACCAGTGGTTTCCGCGATCACCACAGCCTCAGGCGTCAAAACTACGCGCACCTGTGTGCGTCTGTGCGGAGACCACCACCACCACCAGTTTCGGTCACCGTACCACACACCACACCATGTGTACGACCATGCGTGCTTGCTGCGTCAGTGGATCTCGTTCGCCTGTGTCGAGATCGCTTCACACTCCCATTTCCGGGGTTTGGACGCTTTGATTCCTGTTTAGACCTTGTTGTTACTTTTTTCGCCACCACCTCTCTCTTTTTGACCTGATCGTTTCTCTTCCTGTGCGGATTGATTGTCTGTGACCTGTTCCTTTGTCTGGGGTTGATCGAATGACTGTGAGGTGGTGGTGCTATGCCACACCATGGCAGATGTGTTGCACATCCTTCGGTCTTGTCTGAGTCAAGCGTGAGTTTTTAGGTGTCATTCGTGCCTTTTTTCGTTCTCCGGGTCTCGAGTACAGGAGAAGACGTTCCGCATCACGTGGGCATTATTGTTTTATCCGAATGGTTTTTCTTCGACACAACTGTTTCCGCCTCGGCATTCGTGTCACCACCACCTGGCCTGATCGTGAGAAATATGGTTCGTCTTCAACTCATGCCAAAGTCCCGGTTCAAATCAATGAACAACAACGACGATGCAGGGCAATTTGATGTTCCGCGTCTCATTCGAACGGACTTTTTTTGTTTACACGCGCCCCAATCGGGTGATCTCGTTTGCGGCTACCCGTCGTCACACCGTTGGATGTCACATGTATTTTAACTCGTCATAATTCACTTTATCTGTCCGGTCCCGAAACGAGGAAACAGTTATTTTTTGCAGTAGATTTTCATCTGCACTGTAGCAAACAGAATGAATCTGAGAAGCGTTATCCTCCAATTGGCATCACTTACAAAAATGTTTTCCCGTTTCGTTATTAGTACGGAGAACCGAACGAGAAATGTTTGTTTTCTATCCACGAGAAGGTTCAGTTCAGTTCAGCTCAGCTCAGTTCTTACAACCATTAACTATCCACTTTCATGCGCCGGTTTTGGTTGCCCATTTGAATAAAACGGCAGAATGATGATTAGAATGTTGAAAGCAGATTCAAAAAGAAGATAGCGCATTTACATAGACTGAAGTTACCAGAATAATGAGTAGATGCATGAGCCCTACTGTTTGCAACATCCAACCATATCGCTCAGTGTCTCTAACCATCAGGGACTATGATCTCGGGTTCCCCATCTAGGGAGCCTAACGGAACCTATGTGGCCCAGTCTCCTGGTTAGGGTTTTCATACCCTCATGCCAGGTCTTAGCTTGCTCTTTTTCCAATCACTACCTGCCTCGACAAACCGCTCATCGCTGCAACCTATTTGGTGACGTGCGTGGCACATGTCCCAGCCAGCGTGATCTGTGAACGTCGACTACTTCCTCCAGTGGACGATCGCGACTGCCTAAAACTTTGCGCCGAACCTCAGCATTGCGAGTCCAGTTACCCCACCATACTCGTGCAATGCGACCTAGACAACGGTGTTCGAACACCGACAATCTATATTCATGCTGTTCCCGTAATGGTGAAGTCTCTGCACTGAAGGACATCACTGATCGAACTGCTGCGACATACACTCGACCGTTTAGGGACAGCAGGATTTCCCGTCAGAGTGAGTCTGAGTGCTGGACCAACCCAGTCTTGTAGTAACATTTTATACTTTGAAGGTGCAAAACGCATGCCGAACCCGCTTACATTAGCACTCAAACTATCCAGAAAAGCTTGCAACTTATCTGACACGAGAAGATAGTGCTCTTTGTTGCAAGGTTATACAAAAGGTCGGTTTCACAGACACACGCGCTGAAAGTGTCAATCTGGCGGTGTTCGTCAGGGTTGCCCTCTCTCTCCTTTTCCATTTAACTTTGTTATAGATTTGATTAAGGATACAGCCCTATCCAGGTGGCAGACTGTCTGATCTGGAGTATGCAGACTACATTGTGCTGCTCAGTGAACATCCAGGTAAGTTGCAAGCTTTTCTGGATAGCTGGAGTGCCAGCGTAGCCATGTTCGGTATGCGTTTTGCACCTTCACAGTGTAAAATGTTACTACAAGACTGGGTTGGTCCAGCACCCAGACTCATTCTAATTGCGGAAGTAATAGAGTAAGTGAATAAATTTTGTTATTTAGGCAACCGTATATCTTATCCGGCGGACGCATCACAGATGAAGTGTCGGCGCACATACAAAAGGCTCGGTTGGTATTTGCCAACTTGAGACATCTGTGGCGCCGTCGCGACATCCGGCTGTCTGTGAAGGGTCGATTGTATACTGCAGTAGTTCGGCCAGTCCTGCTCTACGGTGTTTGAAAACCGCTGTCCACGTTGCATTGCACGAGTTTGGTGGGACAGTCGGACGACCAATGCTGAGGTTAGGCGCAGAGTTTTAAGCAGCCGCGGTCGCCCACTTAAGCAAGTGGTCGACGTCCATAGATTACACTGGGTGGAGCATGTGATGCATGTCACGAAATAGGTTGCCACGGCGAGCAGTGTTTGTCGAGGCAGGTAGCGGTTGGAAAAAGTTCAAGGGTGGGTGGAATAAAGTCGAGGGTGGTCAAGCACGAGTGTATTAAAACCCTAACCATGAGTCTGGGTCACATAAGTACCATTAGGCTACGTGGATGTGAACCTCGGGATATCATTGTAATCAATGGTTAGAGACACTGAGTGATATTTCCGAGTGTCGTAAACAGTGGCGTCCGTGCATCTTCTCAATTTCTCTGTATCATTAATCCACTGAAATTCTTAGTTTTCTCTTCGATCCTACTTTCAACCTTCCTGTTTTTCTCCTATTGTCCATCCAAATGGGCAGCCAAAAGACAGCAACCCATAGCGACGAACGACATGCTTAATGGTTGTTCAACCTGAAACTTTCACTCTGGTTTGTGTGGTGAACAGTTCACAGGTCTAATCACCTAGCTCGGCGAACAAGCGAAAGGTTTGTAAAAGTTGCATCTGTGCCGATTTCGAACGCTCTGTATCTCAGGGCCACAGGTCCGAGGCCCATCGATCAAGAAGGGTTCTCCCATGGACTCGTTTCTGTTCGTTTTAACTCAGTCACTTTTGTTCGGTGAATAAGCACTTGGTTTCCGGCTAATCTATTCACCCCTCCATTGTCTACCTTGTGCCGATCAGATTATCAAGTTTTGGATGAACCGACTCGCTCAAGCACCAAGGAACTGTACATCCTGGCCTATCACAGTCTCCGTTTTTGCATGACAAGTACGTGAACTTGTGCTGATTGGTAATGATATTCTCTCTCTCTCTCCCTACATACACACAGACACACACACACACAGACATTTTTCGTTCTCAGCCCGTTATCGGGCATGTTTTCATCGGTAAAGACAACTCTGTATATTTGATTTGATCAGAGCAGCGCATCGATTGAGTTCACGATAGTAAACTGGAAACCTACCGCATCGCTGTCTCAGGACTTTGAACTATCCAGTTGTGCTTTTTCATTTCATCAAATCAGTGGACTAGAGAGTAAGTGTATACACATACCAAACGGTGCGGTCCGGGATCCGAACGGTTGATCGTGACGGGAGCTGTTTTTAAACTACTCATCTCGTACTCATTTCAAGTGACCGAATATATATATATATATATATATGAACAATTTGCAATTAAGGGCGTATCACCTTCGATTGATCTGGTTGT